AGCCTCCCGAGTAGCTGGGACTACAGGCGTCCGCCACAACGCCCGGCTATTTTTTTGTTGCAGTTTGGCCAAGGCTGGGTTTGAACCTGCTGCCCTCGGTATATGGGACCAGTGCCCTACTCACTGAGCCACAGTCGCCGCCCATCCATGTTATGCATTTAAATCCAGAAGTATGTATATTTGGCATCGACCATTTTGTGAGATCTTGGAAGTGACCACTGCATCACCCCATTTCATCACCCTACTTCCATATCATGTAGCCATTTCTATACCTGAGCAGGGACAGAATCATGGATGGATCATGTACTCTGTCACTTCTCTATCCCAAAATAGTCTTTCCTTATGTTGAGGAATTTGTTTATATTCTGAAACTTCATTAATATTAAAATGCTAATATTTCATTAGCCATTAAAATTAAATAAGCCTATAACAAATTAAGTCAGTCAAGATTACCACAAAAAGCACTCCAAAGCTATGAAAGGTACAAAGACTGTACACTTATATAACATATGTGCAAAAGGCTTGAATTTGAAGTCTTTGATCTTTTCCCTACAGAAAATCACTTCAGGATTTCTTTTTCTTTTCTTTGAGACAGAGTCTCACTTTATCACCCTCAGTAGAGTGCTGTAGTGTCACAGCTCACAGCAACCTCCAACTCTTGGGCTGAAGCAATTCTGTTGCCTCAGCCTCCCGAGGAGCTGAGACTATGGGCGCCTGCCACAACGCCCAGCTATTTTTAGAGATGGGGTCTCCCTCTGGCTGGTCCCAACCCTGTGAGCTCAGGTGATCCACCTGCCTCAGCCGCCCAGAGTGCTGGGATTACAGACATGAGCCGCTGCACCTGGCCTCATTTCAAGATTACAAGCAGCAAATTTCAAATTCACCACATCTCCAAAAGAAGCAAGAATTCCCCATTTTCCTATTTTTTGTTACAAGTTCTTTTGTTTTTTGAACTGGCACAGTTCTTTCTTTATACCAGTTTCAGTCCTTAAGACATGTATATACATATTTACATCTTCCTACCCTGGTTCACTTAGCTTTAAATCACTCACACCAAGTACTGAGTTTTTGCACATAGACACGAAGAATAAACATTTAAGAGAAAAAAAAAGTCAATATGTAAGCATATTAACTAAACAGTATCATTAGAAATAATTTACATACCTAATCTAGTTGCCACGTCTGGGTTATGAGATCTAAAGTGATCCTATTAGCTGTTAAATCGTGGACTGCAAGTCCATTTCATCCAGTTCTGTGGGTTATTAACGTTTGACTATTTAAAGTTAACACATACAACTATGATTTCCTTATTATTCTTATCACACAGAAAGATCTGTCAATGGAATATATCAAGAACTCATTTTCACATTATTTGTGCATAATGATCAAAAATGATGTGGCAGAGACTGATACTCACTCCCCTAATATCTATTTTTCTTTTCTCCCAGAGAATACTCATAATTTCGTGGGACATAGGGCAGTCTGAAACAGACAACAGACAACCTGTAAGCATCTCCTGCATCTAGATGTGATATGACAATGTTCTGGCCAACAGGATCTAAGTAGAAATGACCTGTGGCACTTCCAGTGACCATCTTTAAGACTGCTGGCTTTGCCCTCTGCTCCCTTTGGCCTGTCCTTCCTCCAGTAGAGCGCAGATGTGAGAGAGCTCTAGCCATCCAGCTGGGGTAAGAAAACAAGGGCTATATCCTGGTATGGCAGAGTGGTGAACTAGCCTAGATGCTAAAACCTTCAAGGAAAAGATGATTCCCATCAGTCCTAGACTCTGCCTCTGGGATGTTATGTGAAGAGAAAAATAAACTTGTATCTTCTGCCACTGTATTTTGGATTATTCCAAAGTATCAGCTTCCTTTGGATAAAAGGAGGAGGCAGATTCATAAATGGCAGATTTTCAAAGACATTCACTGTGAAGCCACATTTGTCTCAGGAGGAGATAACAGAATATTGTATCTTTGTAAATAACTATTCTCTATTCTGACAGATGCAGCTGCTCTATACTAAGAGTCAAAAAGCTTCTGCTCTGAACCAGAAAACCAGTTAACTTCTCTCAGACTAGGTAGCTTTAGTCATTAAATTGGGATAGCACCACCTATGTAATAGGATTCTCTTGAGATTTAAAATATACCCTATACGAAAGTATTCCATAGTATAAATACTGGTACACTTAATTGTTCGTAAGAATATAACTATGGATAAAAGCTCTGTCTCTTACTGTGACTCTAGTAACAAGTACTCAATAAATATTGGCTGAATAAATATTTTTAAGTCCTTGCTAAATGAGTGAATTATCCTGTGTTGGAGCTGAATAAAGTTCAAATGTCCTTAATGTTATTTAAAATATTACTGGAGACCCTAACAGATATAATTCTTAATATCGATGCCAGTCAAAAGATACAGGGTGTGAAGATTCCAATTTCCAGCTCAGAAACCACAGCGAATCCACTTCACGGATCCCTATTTACTATAGCAAAGTAATTTAAACTAGAAAAAAAAGTTGTGGTACAGAAATGAAAGTTTTATGATTATTCTCCTCTAAAATTACAAAGTTACACATAAAAGTTTTGTTAATATTTAAACCACTAACCCTACCACGTCAAATGAATGATTTCCTCACACTGGACTGTGGCTAAAGTATTTTATTAAATTAAGTATGTAATTTGCAAATGGTTTCATAAGAAATTTAAAAGCAAAGTTATAAAACATTTTCAATAAAAAAGTACAGAGTTAACAGCAAAATTACATTTTCTTTATAGTACAAATAAAAACGTTTTTTTCTAATACACTGTCTGAAAAATTTTAAATATTTTCTCTGACCGATAGCTGCAAGACTGTATTTTAGTGAGAAGTTTCATGTTAAATTCAATAGGCTCATCACTTAGACCAGACAAGTCAAGTGCTCAACTTTAAGGAAAATAATACACTTTGTCATCACACAATGTGAAGTTATAAAAGGCTCTTCTGGATGTAGACGTGTTCTAGCTTTGTTTCTCTATTAAGTTCTGTAAAGAAGCATTAAGTAATACTGTAAACTGGAATTACATTTTAAAAATAAGCACCATTAACATACATTCTACATAAACTTACTTTACGTTTTGAATGATACTCTTTTGGCCACACAAACATTTAAATCTCTTTTCTTCACATGTAAATAAAAATCAGCAATATTTAGCTACTACGCAGAAAAATTATCAAATTTCACCTCATGGCACAATGAAAAAACACTTGGAAAAAACAGCACACATCATCATCGTCTTCTTTTTACATTTTGTCATGTTCCTAAATCGAGAGCAGTTAAAACATTGTCAGAGCAATTTCCTGAGTTTCAAAAGCTTCCAATTTCCAGCTCAGAAATAATCAATCTCACTATTATACGTGTCCTGTTCTAAGCATACAAAACACTTGAATTCAAAAAGAAAAAGACCAAAACAAGGGACTGGAAACCATCCAGAGGAGAGTATAATCTTTCCTCTCAAAACATGTCACAAGACACTTTGAAGTTGCAATTTTTACTATACAGTATGTCCTATATTTAAAGGCCACAGAATTGTAAATAGTATGGAAATGGTAACAAATTGAAAAAACTTCACCTAGAAAATAATAGAGAGATATATGACTAGACAATAAATCTAAGAAAATACGCTTGCATTTCTCACCCGGGAAGAAGGGACGGACAGACTCAAAGTGCTGTGAAGAGCCCCTAGTCCAATATACTCCCTCTGTGGTTTCCACGTTAGTTCTTTTCTTTGGAAGGTTTTTGCTAAAACCTTCCAAACTACAGAAGCACTGTACTACTTTAAAATATTTTAAAATGTTCAGTTACAAACAGCCATTCCAGTGAGCCACATATTGGCACAGACACACAGGTCAACTGTCCCTTACTCAAAATGCTCAGCATTGCAAGTGTTTAGCATTTCTGATTTTTCCAGATTTCAGAATATTTGCATCGGGCTTACCAGGTTCACATTCCTAATCTGAAAATCTGAAATGCTCCAGTAAGCGTATCTTTTGTGTGCCATGTCCATGCTCAAAAAGATCTGAATTTTGGAGCACTTAGGGACACTCAACCTGTACCAATACATGAAGACTCTCCAAACTATCTTTGAATACAAATGGGCAAAAGAAGAAAGGAGAGATTATATAAAATTTTCTTTCATCATTATGTGTTCCTCAAACTATGCTGGATAGTGGGTAGGAGGCAGTCTGGAATTAAACAACTGCAAAAAAAAATGCTCAAACCTTGCCTGTATGTTTATGAATGATGATTAAAAAATACTGTTAGATTTACCAAAATAAGGTGTAACATTAGAGTTGAGACTACAGAACACATAGCTTTTTTCATTTGATTTCTGCCCACAGAATACCACATCTCTACTTCATCTGACTGCTCCCTCATCAATTAGATTACTAAAGTAAGTCTAGCTGACATAGTTGAAAGTGATTTTTTTAAACCAAGTAAGAAAATATATAAACACTGAAAATGAGTAGGCAGCTGCATACTCTCCAGTAAGAGAGGTTTTGGTATTGTTTTCCATATTGTTAAATCATATTAATTTATACATAAGAAGATTTAATTTCATTAGCAATTAGTTTTATAATAAATTGTTAAAAGGAATTACTTTATTTTGAATCTACAGAACTGTTCTAGAGATTATGAAAAACTGTGCTAAACTATTGGCATTTTTAAAAAATATGACAAACACAAGAAATGAATAATACTTCAAATACCTAACCATTTCAAGATAATAAGCATATTCTTATTTTCACGGAAATAAAATACAACGATAAGGCTCTTCTTTTAAAAGCAGGCATTTATAATATACAAAAGCAAGTGTTTTTGAGTTTTATTTTCATTAAAATGTTCCCTCTTTGGGGAAGCCATTCTGTAGTGTAGGATTCTTTCAGTATCAGCTCAAACCTATAAGTCCTCATTCAAAGGATTTTTTAAAACTTAACAAAAAACAACATAATTTTTTGCTAAAATAACATGTTGAAAATATTCTCCACATCTGAAATAATTTTTAAGCCATTGTCTCATATTAGACTTCAACATTAAAACCTGTGTAAAGGAAATTATAATTTGCACAATCACCTAATCAAACAATGAAAGTTTCCTTTCACAAAATCAGCTCTTTCAAAATAAAAGTAAAAATCTTTTAAATTCTACTGATTCCTTTTATGATTATACTCAAAATGTTTTCTATGTTTGTTTTATGTTATTAAGATTTTGACCTACTGCATTCTAGATGTACATCCGCAAATATAACTATTCAGTACTGTCTGAAATGCCCCTGACACCGCCAGTTCTAGAAGCAGTTCTGAAAGGCCCCAACACTTGGTAGATACGTAACCATTTCTCCTCCTCTGAAAATCTGTCTGCCTCTCCAAGGTATAAAACTGCAATATAATCTCAGACCCACTTTCTCCCATAAAATGCACACGTACAGAAAAACAGAGTGAAAAGTAAGAGATCAAGAGCTACACAAAGCAGAGGGAAGGACAAAAGCACGTCTTCCTGAGGGACGCGGCAAAATGAAATGGTTTCATGTGTTCAGTTTTAAAAGCAAAAAGGATTCAAGTGTTTCTGTTAGGTCTCCTTTCTTTCTTCACTACTGCTACCACTACTTCTTTTTCTTCCTCTTAACACAAGTCTTTGAAAGGCTATCAAAGCACTTTAAAGATCTCTCACAGAAACCTTTAGGAAGTTACTAAATGTCAAACCACCATTATTAACACAAAGGTAACATTTTCTGTCTGAGAAACCATCCAAGCACTTCAAACTTTAAAACTGCGGCTGATAATCTGCTTAGACATTTTGTAATCAATAAAAACCCACTTTAATATTTTTAACAGGTAACATTATTTGCCATATGATTCAGTGAAAAATTTCTCTTGAATTTTGAAAAACATGATTTTTTGTTTCATAACTATAAACATTATTTCTGATAAAACACATGTTTAGAGAACTGACTGAAATACTGCAAATAAAACTAATTTTAACCTACAAACCTTCACACTTCTAAGTCAAGGACGTTTATTTTACTTTAGCATGACTTTCAAGCACCCTGGTTTAATTTCAGAGAACCTGTAGAAATAAGAAAAGAGTTATTTTAAAAATAAAAATTTCAAACTAGCCAGGGAATATACTTTTTATCAAGTCCAAGTGCCTATGCCTAACACGGTATTTACTATCAAGTACTCTCCTTCACTAAGTCAATATCCAAGACCAGTGTCTATGTTTAGTTCCTTTTAATCTACTGCCCAAACAAATACAATCCTAAAGCTAGGGTTACTCCTAATGTAGTAGTTAAAATAATTAAAGATTTTTCAAAACTTCCAAACACAAATTACACCCTCATGAGGCCGAGCACACTGAAGGAAGGGTCAGACCCTGTCTCCCTTACGCTGTTTCTGTGCATCAAGAAAGCACCAAGAAGAAATCTCTGATTACCAGGTAAATCTGATTAATCCGGCCATGTAATGCTTCCAATTCTCTCAGTGTAAACTTTCTAGGAACACTAGTTTCTAACATAGATGATTAATCTCAATATGCTACTGTTCTGGCCTACTTCTTTTGTAAAAATAACCATGAAGTGTTACCTGTCTTCATGGTTAGAATGCTACCATTTCTATAATGTAGTAGCCAAATAACATTGTACCACACGGCATAAACTAAACATGCTACGCTAAGTGAAACTCCAGGGGTGGACTTGATGCACATGTCGGACACCTATCAACAGATTTCTTGTCATTTTCTGTTACTAAATAATGATCACTTAATGAAAAAGCCCACATTTGTCAGCAAGACCATTAATAGCATTTAACTTATGAAAAGAGAAATTCATATAAACTGGAAAGTTTCTGCAATAATTGAAACACACCCAAATTATAACTATATTTCAGCAGAAGCAACCCAGTTCCATCCAAAATCCACAAATATATTCTCCTTTCAAAATAATAAACCGCAAATCTTAAGCTATGATATACACAATCTAAGTATCTTAGATAATATATTATCAAAAAGACACAAATATATTTACTTTCTTTTAGAATTTTGAATGTATAATAGAACGTTTTATCATGTAATTATTGTCAACAATGTTTTATTTCTGGTTTACCAGATAACATAACCAGCAGGGAAAGTTCCATCATAATTTAAGCATTAACTTTTGGCGAAATTAGATGAATAAACTTAGTTAACTATTTAGACAAATCATTCTGAGCATACTGCTAACGTTTACCTAGTTACATATGGGCAACAGCCATTATCAATAACAGAAATCTATACTCACCTGAAGCTATGGCTTGTGAGGTATTTAATGACAGCTGGTTTAATGCGAGCAACTCCTCCCTGGCTGTGGTTTCCTCTCCCCGTAATCACAGACAGATAAGGCTTCCCACCATTCTGCTTAAATTCTGTTACAACAGGAATTACAACAGTTAAAATTCACTTATCTTACATTCTCAATAGAAAACAATCTTAGATACTCAAACACACGTGAAACTGTTTTCATAAGGATTTAGAGATTACTTCTTTAAGCCCCCAAATTAATGTTTTAAATACATACACATTTTATAACATAGACAGTGGTTGGTGCGGTATGATTCATGCCTATAATCCTACCACTCTGGGAGGCCAATGTGGGAAGACTGTGAAAACTCAGGAGTTTGAGATCAGCCTGGGCAAGAACCAGAACCCACCACATCTATGAAAAAATTAGCGGAGTGTGGTGACACGTGCCTATAGGAGTCTGAGGCAGAAATCACTTGAGCCCAGGAGTTGGTGGTTGTAGTGACCTATTATGATGCCATGGCAGTCTAGCCAGGGTGACAGAGCAAGACTCTGTCTCGAGGGAAACAAAAAAGTTTCAATGCAATCTACCCATCCAAAGACTTCAGGGAGACTTCTTCCCCTGTGGGTAGGGAGATTTCTGTGTACTACCAGTTCTCTCTGAAATAATTATGACAAAGACAACACAAATGACATCTAACAATTAATATACACATGGAGTCAGGCACTGTGCATTAAATGACGTATTTATTAAATAAGAATCTTTAGCTTGGTCAGATGGATCTGAGAAAGAAAAGATAAAAAGAATCTTCACAACAACCCTATTAATTAATGACTCTGAAGCCAGTCGGCTTTGGACTGAATCACAGCCATGCCTCTAAATGACCGTGTGACAATGGACAAGTCACTTAACTTCTCTGTGCCTGTCTCCTCGTCAGGCAATGGGATTAATGACAGCAAATATTCTATATACAATCCTCCAGAAATACCCAGTAGCATAGATTATAGTTCAACTGTTAAAGACAATCAGTCGTTAAACTTAGGAAACTCTTCCTGATAGGTAATTCTTAAAATATCAAATGAGCCTGAAGCCTCTTGAAAGAGGACAATTGCTATTTGGGATATAATCTGGTGAAAATCAAGTATATAAATCCTGAAAACCAGTAAAAGCTGTCACAGAATTTTTTAATGTTAGTAATAAAATTTGAATTAATGAATTTATAAATATTTGTTCCTCACTGATAAATAGTTCAAGTTTTGCTATTTAGCATAAAACATACACATACAAAGCTGGTGGCTCATGCCTGTTATCCTAGTACTCTGGAAGGCAAAGGCAGGAGGATTGCTTGAGGCCAAGAGTTCAAGATCAGCCTATGCAACACAGCAAGACCGTGTCTCTACCAAAAAATTTAAAAACTAGCTGTGTCGTGGCATGTGCCTGTAGTCCCAGCTACTCAGAAGGCTAAAGGGGAAAGACTACTTGAGCCCAGGAACTTGAGGTTATAGTGAGCTATGATCAAGTCACTGCACTCTATCCCAAGTGCCATTGTAATACCCTGTCTCTCTTTTTTTTCTTTTTGAGACAGAGTCTCAAGTTGTCCCCCTGGGTAGAGTGTCGTGGCATCACAGCTCACAGCAACCTCCAACTCCTGGGCTCAAGTGAGTCTCCTGCCTCTGCCTCCCAAGTAGCTGGGACCACAGGCACCCGCCACAACACCTGGCTATTTTTTGGTTGCAGCCATCATTGTTGTTCAGCAGGCCCACGCTAGATTCGAACCTACCACCTTAGCTGTATGTGGCTGGCACCTCAGCCACTTGAGCCACAGGCACAGAGCCGATCTTAAAATGCTCTGTTGCCCTTCTATTTCTAATTCCTTATGTTTAAGATCTCCATTTCTGGCTCCATCGCTGTAGTTCAGCGGCCAGGGTGCTGGCCACAAACACCCAGGCTGGTGGGTTCTAACCCTGCCCAGGCCTACCAAAAAACAATGACAACTATAACAAAAAATAGCCAGATGTTGTGGTGGGCACCTGTAGTCCCAGCTACTTGGGAGGCTGAGGCAAGAGAATCACTTATGACTAAGAGTTGGAGGTTGCCGTCAGCTGTGACGCCATGGCACTTTACCAAGGGTGACACAGTGACAACTGTCTTAAAAAACAACAACAACAACAATCCCTCCATTTCCACTGTAATCTATACCCATTACTTCAAGCAATATATTGTTCAAAATCCAGTTCTCTCTGAGTGCCAGCTTCACTAGTGCACTCACTTTGTAGTGAGTTTTTGCATGATATACTCCTTATGTTGTATACTGTTCTTTATATATGTTATATGACGAATAAAAGCTTACTTAATAGAAAACCTAAATCTCTTAACCATAATTCAGTCTCATCACTCTTTCAATACCAATCCCCTTACCAGTTAGCTCAGTCAGTCATTTATACCATCTTTTTTTTTTTTTTTTTTTTTGAGGCAAGAGTCTCACTCTGTTGCCCAGGCTAGAGTGCTGTGTGCCATAACAACCTCAAAGTCCTAGGTTCAAGCAATCCATCTGCCTTAGCCTCCCAAGTAGCTGGGACTATAGGTGCCCACCACAATAGCTGGCTAATTTCTTTTTTAAAACTTTTAGTAGAGGCAACGTCTCACTACTGCTGGTCTCAAACTCTGAACTTGAGGGATCCTCCCAATGTGTCTTCCCAGAGTGCTAGGATTTGCCATGCCTGGCCCACCTCACCTTTCAATAGGTCACTTTTTTACTCCGAATATGTTTTCTGGTTGACTGATAGGCCTCAAACACAATAAGACCTCAAAAGATGTCTGTTGTATAAGTGAACGTATAAATTTACTTTCCCACATTAATAGACTAATCCTGTTGTTTATCACTTTAGAAAAAACTGTTTACCTCATTTCTAAGCACACCCCAGATTCTTATTTCAACTACAAATACTTCAGCGTACGTATCAAAAAAGTTAAGGACTCCTTTAAAAAACAACCGCAATGTTACCATCATCTTACAAAAATTAACAACAGTCCCTTAATAATCAGTTTCCAAAAATTTCCCCTGATTATCTCAAAAAAGTATGTTTTATGGTGATTTATTTAAATGAGAGCTGAAACAAGTTTATACACTGTATTTGGCTTATATATTTCTTAAGTAACTTTTAACACAAAG